AGCTTTGCTCGGTATTTTTCGCTCGGTTTTTTTTTTTAATTCGTGTGTTTTGGAAATTATATTTAGATACAAATTACATACTGATGAAATACGAATAATATTTTTTGATCTTAGCGACATAATTGAAAAAAACTGAACTGGTTATTTGAATAAAAAATCATGAGTGCAATTAATTTAATTTAAATTTTCGTGTTTTTAAAAAAATACTAAAAAAGGGCTCGAAAAAAATTGAATTTCTCAAAAAAAGAAAGGAACTTGAAAAAAAATTAAAAAAAGTCGGTCGGTCGGTCTGGGCTCGAACCATGGTATTACGATTTTGTGACCGCCCAATATACCAATTAAGCTATTTGTAATCATTAATAAATTGTCAAAATTTACCTTCTTATTCTAACGATATTGTAGCAGTTTTTCATTGCCTAAAAACACAGACAAAAAGACATTTTCTAAAAATAAATCTATTTATTGCCCCCGAAACTCCCTGCACACAAAATTTTATGAAAATCGTTGGAGCCGTTTCCGAGATTCCGAATTTAAGAAAAATTACTTAAATTAATTTAATTAAAATACAAGAATAGCTGGTTTAAAGGTATAGGATATGATAGGATAACAGACCATTCTTCAATCCTACACAGCATGTGCCCTGGCCAGCAAAGACCAAAAGGAACCAAAGCTTTTTACTAGAATCAACTACGATGCTTGTTTAAAATATTTAGAGACAGTAGACTTTTCATTAATAAACACTTCACCTGATGCAAAACTGCCCCTAATAAACAAAGAACGCTAAAATCATGGCTAACTCTTGGTCTTTTACATTGTATTCGACACAGAGACAAACTCGTAAACTTAAAAAAGTTCTGAAAATAAAATTCTTGAATTCACTTATAAGCGTTACCGAAATTATTGTAACTCTTTGTTGAGAAATCTTATACGAAACTACGAAAAGTCACTATTACGTAATGCAAAAACTAATAAAGAGCAACAGAAGAATGCAATTAAAACTATAATAAATTACACAAAACCAAAGACGAGTGCTGATAACCTTTTGAGTTCTAATGAAAATACTGTTCGTGACGTAGAAAACATAAATAAATTCTCTAATAGTAAACTACCTCATATTTAAAATCAAAATAGCTCTTCATATAATTTCACAATTCCATCAGTTCCTAACTCTTTTGTGCTACTTCCACCAGATGAGTGAGAGGTAGAATCGATTATCAGAAGCTTAAAAACTAACTCTGCTACTGTATGAACTCTATACCTTTGCAACTTCTCAAATTATCAGTACATCTAGTAGTTCCACGAGCTCTGTTATGCGTAAGGAATCTTTCCAAAAGTTTTTACAAAAACCGCTGATCACTCCTGTTCATAAGGATGGATCCCGAGACGAAATATCCAATTACAGGCCTATTTCAGTACTTTCGTCTATGTCTAAAATCTTGGAAAAATAATTAAATTATAAAGTTATATCCTCTTCACAATTTGGATTTAGGTCGGGGAAGTCCACTCAAGACGCGGTAATTCAATTGACAGAATTTGTAACATCAAAAGTTGATGCAAAGCAAAAATGTTTGGGGATTTTCCTCGACCTAGCCAAGGCATTTGACATTATCTCGATTCCTATCCTTGTGAGCAAATTAGAACGCGTTGGTATTCCTTTATGATTTTTAAGGACTTCCTATGTGACCGTAAACAACATGTTAAAGTGGGTGAATATGTCAGCCCCGAGGAACCGATTGTATTCCGCGTTCCACAGGGAAATATAGTAGGAAGGGAAGTATTCTAGGACCTAGTCTCTTCCTTATCTATATAAATTATGTATGTCAGCAACCTCTAGTGAATGGCAAATATTACCTATGCTGATGATACAGCTTTAGTCTTCCATGGTAAGACTTGGGATGAGGCTCGACATAACGCTCATCTGGGACTTTGGCTATTGTCTCGGCGCTATTCTCCTAACCTTAAATATTTCGAAAACTACATACATGCAGTTTTTCTTGGGAAAGACTGGATCCGTAAACCTTGATATTAAGGTCCACTAGTGTACTAACCCTTTCAATACTACCCCCCCCCCCCATGTTCATGGCTCGCAATTACTAAATCCAATAGTGTCAAATATCTTGGTGTAATACTGGACGCCAAACTCAACTGGCACTCACACATAGAGCTTACAACTGAACGTACTAGAAAGCTTATTTGGGTGTTTAAAAAGTTAAGATACGCTGTTGACTTATCTCTCTTGCGTTCAATTTACTATGCTTTAGTTCAGTCCGTAACGGGATACGGTATAAACGTCTGAGTAGGAGCCTGTAAGACCTTTCTAATCTGCCTGGAAAGGGCACAAAGATCCCTCTTACAAGTCATGACCTTTAGGCCATACAGATTTTCCACTAAAGAATTGTATGAGATATGTCGAGTATTAATTGTGAGGCAACTTTACATTTTGAAATTAATTACTAAACAGCATATGGTTTACCATTTATAATGCCACTGATTATAAAAAAACGGGTTATAAAAAATTTATGTTTACCAATAACATGTCGAACAGCCTTTGCTAGACGGTAACATGCATATAAGGCTATATATTTATACAACAAAATTAATAAATTAACAAATATACAACATGTAACATAATTAACGCACTTTGAGAAAGTAGTTTATTCAGAATCGTTTAATGAATCGATTCCTATCACTTTTAATAGAGGTAATTTTTTAGCCCAAATATAATTAAAACTACGTAAATTACAGCCACACTAAATCTGTACAGTCAAAACAAACTGAAATGGACCGTAACATAAGGCAATAATACTTTTAAGAGTCCACAGTTTTATTTGTATTATTACTAATTCTGTCATTCAATAAAAATAATGAAAAATTAACTATATTTCAAGCACGTTAAAGTTTTTGCGTTCGTGGATTTGTACTGTGACCACAACATCTTCCGGAATTAGTATAACTAATTTGATAAATAATCAGTGCAAAAAAAGTTTAACTAACAATTCAGTGTATGTATTATGATTATAACATAATATACTAATTGGGGTGTCTGAGGGTGTGCGTTAATTACGTTACAGTATATTGTATATCCCTTAACTAGTAGAAAAGCGAAAATTAAAATTAAGAGTTGGCTATTAGGATTAGATTATGAACAAACCGAATCGATATTATTATAAAAAATTAACAAACATGCAAAAAAAATTGTTTAAATCTTAAATTTCGAACCAAACACACGCAAACCCACGCACACTCACGCGCACTCACACACACATGCCCATACACGCACCCAGCTGCAAGCAAGCACACGCACACACACACACATACACAGACCCACACGCACACACAGATTTTAAAATTGCTTTATTTACATAAAATAAGTAGCTGTCATTATATTAGGGAGATTGCGGACTCTCGTAACACAGGTTTTCTAACCTAGCTCGGGAGTCAGAGGCTTAATTAATATTGTAACAAATTTTATGTCAATAAAGATTATTATTATTATTATAATGAAAATGCAGATGCGTTGCCTCATTTCCAGTAAGAAGGTTCTCCGGTTCTCTTCACTCACCATACGAAACGCAGCCGCATTGCTATTTCTTGCTTGTGTTCTGTGAGAACAAAAGAGGTAAGCCCAACCATAGCTACAAGCATAATATACGAGTTGCTGTAGCACGGCTCTACCACGTAAAACCATGTAAATTTTCGAACGAATATTGAATTTATTAATTTCAACTTTCAATAGGTATTATTTATTGAATTATAATTTTAAGAACAACTCGTAAATATTCTTCTGCCTTAGCGACGAGTACATCTTTTATCTCATTTAAATATTATGTAAAATAATATCATAGAAGGTTACTGAATATAAAAACGATTGTAAGGACTCCTTTTAGGGATTAAAATCATATTTTATCATCTTGGTATAACATATAATTTACACTTAAATCTCTTACATATATAAATCAATTGCTGTCTGAACTCGAAACTCGCTAAAGCTAGAACGATCTTATGAATTTTTTGTGTGTATTTGAGTGCGTCCCTGGATGTTTTAAAAACTCAATTGGACTCGGTAAGTGGAGCTGTTGTCGGATCCAGAAATTACCCGTGCGAAGCCCGGGCGGCTCGCAAGTATTTAATAAAGTTAGTGAATAGAGTTCTAACGTGTTCTGAACAATTTGATAATGAATATATAGTACTGACATTGATCTTTAACTCTGCTATTGTTATGCAAGTAAGTTTTTTTTTGCTTGACTTTTTTAATAAAATATTTATTACAGATTGCATAAAACCGTTTTTCATATAATTGTCACTTAATTAGCATGCAATTGCCACTTAATCAGCGGTAATCATCCTGGAGATTACGGCATATCTTTTCGTCATGTATAACTCAAAGCTTGAAAAAAAATGTAGAATAAGGTGCATATTGCCAGTGATGACATATGAATTTAAGCCGTAGTCTTTCACTGATGGCTGTATGAGGTAGATCATGTTATCACTGGCAACGGGCACCAGATTTTCCTACTTGTTTTAAGCCTTGAAGAATGTGTGACGAGAGTGTCCCAATCTCCCTAACGCTGCTTGGATGAGTAAGATGCATCGATTTCCCACTTGATCGAAGTTGAACAGATAATTTGTCTTGGGTATTCATACCGTCAGTCATTCAATCTATTAAATAAAGCTACTTCAAGAGTATCAGTTCAGGTTGTGCATAGCCATCATCATTATTACAGTCCTTCGCAAGTCCACTGCTGAACATAGGCCTTCCCCAAGAAATTCCACAAAGCACATTCCTGAGCCACCTGCATCCCTCGATTTCATGCATGTCTTACCATCATCATCTACCGGGACTAGCCAGCCACTTGAGCACCGTGTCATTAGCTCATAAATCTTTTTTGTCTATGTATCTCCCTCATAGTCACTAATAGCGAGTGTTTTTTTTCCATTGGTATCTCATTTTTATGCTACTAATCTCATTCATAATGCTTTATAATAAAAATAAAGCTTACATATCACCAATAAAAAGTACTCTGCTAGGATCAGTTACGCCTACACGTTTCATTGCATAATCCCCAAGCAACTTTCCTGGCTTGCCGAAGACAATAGGAACACGATTTGTTTCTTTGTTAAGTACATCATTGAATAGGCCAGGTCCTGTAAAGTTGAATTTTATATTATTACGTTATTTACAAAAAAAAAAAACTACATGATAATGCCGTATGGTGGTGGCCTAATGGAATCCACTGACCCGTGTGTGCCGTAAGAGGTGACTATGGGAAATATTAGAAAAAAAGATACAATAAAACAATTGCCGCAATTGACAGAAACACGAAGAGAATCGCAGAATGACTGATACAAGCTCCTAAAGCGTACTAAATGCTACTCGAACGAGTGGTAGTTTAGAGTTTTACCCTGACTTCCTTTATCTCTATTCTCATACATAATAATTTTTTATTTATTTATCATTTTAAACACTTTTTATTGATAGTCAAGGCTTTTAAGAGGATCTTTTACCTCGAAAGTATTTAAACTTTTTTCTTTTTTTATTTATTTATATATTATAAATTTATTATTTATTTATATATTATAAACCACTTTTTGTAATAAGCTGTAAAACATTATCTTTTATTGCTGCTCCGGTTTCATTGTTTAAATAATGGTTTGAAATGGATTTTCATAAGTGTTGCAATTTTTAGTGAAGTGGAGATTTATTCGTGAAAATAATGAAATAAGTGCCTTGAGATTTGAGATACTATCCTCATCGACTTCTCATCAACATGTAAAGAAGTTTTTAAACAAATTATTACAACTGACAATTTCTTAATTTTTAAAAGTGACAAAATACAATCATACGAGTCCATAACCAACGAAAAATATATTATAGTATATACGAAAAAGCGTCCAGCACATGAACTACCACGACTTACCAATAATTCTTATTCTACATTCATGAAATCTAGCCGAATTAAAAAAAATAGATAATATACTGATACACAGATTACCTAAAGATAAATATCCTTGTTTTAAAGACACGTAATTATATAATGCACCACTAATGTAAATCACTTCGGATCTTCTTAAGTAAGTAATAGCTCTGTACATTTTTGCAAGATTGACATTGAAGTCGTTGTCGAAAACTACGGCTCCTATTTCATCGTCGTCGTCAAAATAATCCAGGTAGTTTGTGTATAGTTCTGAGCCGTCTTCGGGCTGAAATAGGTGGAGAATTATTAGTTATTTAAGCGGTCTTAGGGGTTAGTCACCGCAGAGTCTACTACACCTGAAGATGCTTAGAATAGAGGCGACGTACGTGTCGTGTTATCGACAGTGGTGTGTCTTTCCTAGTTTATTGGTGTTGAGAGTAGTGGTACTGGGGTAAATGGTGACTGGAGATGCTACACGGAGGTAAGACAAATCATTTTATTTGATTACGCTGATCTAAGTAAGTTATTTCTTCTATTCATTGATATAATGGATTTCCGCAAAGTAACGCCTCATTCTATTAATTATTTTTTATCGAGTTCCGTCCCATAATATTTGAAAACATCTTTTCATATTTGTCGTTATAAGTATTAAGACGTCCTAATCAAATATTAGCATCAACAACAACTTCCACATCTAATTGTATATCGATAGAAAATATTTAACGATAGTGTAGTAATATTATATTACTTTTTAAATACAGCAAATAAAACTCAACAAAAATATCCCTGAAGGAAGGAAATAAATAAGTGGCAATAAAATTTTTAAATCTCTTTGTCTTAAAGATGGAAAGCAGGCGTTTACTTTTGAATAATCAATAATTATTATAAAATACGCATTTAGCTTGAGCGCTGGTTTAATAAAGGCATTAAGGTCTCTGTATATGGACTCGAGTGCTTGTGTTAGAATCAACGGGGTCTACTCGGACTGGTTTGGCATCCATAAAGGTGTCAGACAGGGCTGTGTAGCTTCCCCGTGGCTGTTCAACCTATTTATGGACAGCTTGTTTGGAAAATTTGAAAGTTGAAGAATGCGGGTTAAGAATGGGTGAGTTAACCATCAAATGCCTTTTGTACGCCGATGATCAAGTCATACTTGCGTCGTCGGCGGCCGAGTTGCAAATGATGGTTACATTAATGAACAGGTCATTAAAAGAAAGGGGAATGAAAGTGGAACGCAAGTAAGACGAAAGTAATGGTTTTTAAAAGAGAAGAAAGCAAAACGGTATGTGAAATAAGAATAGAAGGAGAGTTAACTGAGCAAGTGGATGAGTTCGTATATTTGGGATGTGTATTTAGCAGGGATGGGAGATATATGGATATTGAACGACGAGTGAATGCAGAAATAAAGTAAATGGGGCTCTACACTCTATTGTAAAAAGTCAGAATGTGTCAAAAAAAGGCACGTATGGCAATTCACAATGCTGTGTTTGTCCCTACTTTAACATATGGTAATGAAAGTTGGGTGTGGCAGAAGAAGCACGAGAGTAGAATAAATGCAGTAAAAATGCGGTCGCTAAGGAGTATGTTAGGGACGTCCTAGGCGGAAGTTTGTCGACCAAATTGGCGATATACTAAAAATGGGCCTAATTAAGAGTACTCTTAACCGACGAGCATGTATGCGTAGGTATATGGATGTGGAAGAGGCGAGAGAGGTAAGTCAGGATCGTGCTAAATGGAAGTCTGTAGTCTCTGCCTACCCCTCTGGGTAACAGGCGTGAGTGTTTATGTTATATATTAATATTTTAATATTATGGTAAAAGAGGTATTAAAAGCCAATAATTTTTTTTCTTGCGAATGTAGACTATATCCACCCACCAGATCCACGACTTTTGAATGAACACGCTAACGACTTACACAATTATTTGTTTTTATGCTTTGCGTATTTACAATTATTGCAATAGAATTGACACTTAAAAATCCCGTAAACAATACTTTAAAAAGTTGCGCCACTAATATTATATAATCATATTCGCTGTTTATTTTTTATCATAGGCAATTCAGTTAATAATGCTAATGATTATAGTTCAATTACAACAAAATATTTTTACGCATTACAAGATATGACATTTAACCTATATATGTTATATCATAATAAATAATTAGTTACTTTTTGCACGGCCTGTTTTTGTAACTGGCAGGTAAATAAATTAATTTTAAAATAAAGTTTACGAAACAAGTGTCAACTGCCACAAGTATTTAAAAATACTTAAAAGGAGAACTCTAATATACTGCTATGATTGTAAATTTATTGTTACAGAATAAACATTTTGAATTTTGAAAAAAAAAAAGTGTATTTCATAAAATTTATTTTAAATTTTATTTGCGTTGACACTTTGGCGGCCTCTCATCTCAAGGGTACCTCTTTTAGAGCCGGGGCGGCATCAGAGGCAGCCGAATTTAGTAAATGGCGCAAATATGAGTCTTTGAGAAATGACTTTAACAGTGGTAGAGCCAAGCGGCAGCTTTGCTGTCGCACGTATGGGCCGGCTCAAACCGGGGTGGTACCACGACCTCACAGAATACCGGCGTGAAGTGGAAGCTCTGCTTCCGCGTTTCGTCTGGTGAGTGCAGGTGGCCGGAGGCCCAAATCCCCCCCCCCCCCCATCAACATGGTAGCGGAATTAAACGATAGACTACCCCAGGAGGGTACCAGCACCCCTAGAGAATCCCTCGCTGAGCATCCACGACCATGTTTCTCCACTTCTGAACGTGGGTGCTCAGACTGCCCCGCGTATTCTGGGGGGGGGGGGCAATATTCCGCTCAAGACTAAAACTGCTCGGGGCAAACGGAGCAACAAGACCAAGGCGACCCCTGCCACGCTGTCCGTGAATTTCTGCAATATCAGGGGACTTCACTCTAACCTAAACGCCGTCCACTACCATCTCGAGACGGCAAGGTCGGCTTTGCTCTTTCTGACCGAGACGCAGGTGTCCTCTCCGGCTGATGTCTCGTATCTCTCCTGCCCGGGGTACAAACTGGAACACTCCTTTGTGCCTCGGGCTGGAGTTTGCGTTTACGTCAGAGAGGACATCTGTTCTCGACGCCTCGGCAGACTTGAAGGTTCGGACCTGTCCATCCTTTGGCTACGAGTAGACAGCGACGACCATCCGCGCGTCTACGGGTGCCTCTATAGGTCCCATAGCGGTAATGCCGAAACAGACCGACTCTTCGACCACGTCCAAATGGCTGCAGATTCGTTACTACAGCAGATCCCCTTCGCAGAGATCGTGATCCTCGGCGACTTTAACGCCCATCACGCCGAATGGCTCGGTTCACGTTTAACCGATCATGCGGGGAGATCTGTTCATGATTTTGCCTTGGAATATGGTCTGACACAACTGGTTACTTCGCCTACGCGGATTCCAGATGTGGAGGATCATGCACCTTCCCTGTTGGACCTTTTGCTGACCTCTCACCCGGACGGATATCAGATTTCCGTCGACGCCCCTTTAGGCTCCTCGGACCATTGTCTTGTCCGGAGTGTGGTGCCACTCACGCTGAAATCGCGGTTGCATTCTGCAGGCTGCCGCCGTGTTTGGCACTATAGGTCAGCCGATTGGGATGGGATGCGGTCTTTCTTTGCATCCTACCCTTGGGGGCGGGTTTGCTTCTCGCCAGACGATCCCAACGTTGTTGCGGATTCTGTCGCTGATGTGGTACTTCAGGGTATGGAACTTTTTATTCCTTCCTCTGTGGTGCCCATTGGAGGCAAATCTCAGCCATGGTTTGGTCGCTCCTGTAAAATAGCATCATGCTATAAGTAGGAGTGCTACCGAGCCTGGGCTGACGCATCAGCGTCCAGGGATGTAAACACCAGCGCTCTAAAAAAGAAGTATAATTCCGCCTCTAGGTCCTTCAAAAGAGTCATTGCCAAGGCAAAGTCAGAGCACATAGGCAGAATTGGCGAGAGACTAGTTCGTTTTCCTTCTGGAACCCGTGCATTCTGGTCTCTCGCCAAGGCTGTCCAGGGGAATTTCTGTCAGCCATCTCTTCCATCTCCGCACAGGGAGGACGACTCACTGGCCCACACCGCAAAGGAGAAAGCAGATCTTCTAGGCTCTTTCTTTGCGTCTAACTCGACTCTCGATGACGGGGGGAGTACGCCGCCAACCATCCCGCGGTGTCAGTGCTCCATGCCGGAAGTGCACTTCACACAGCGCTCGGTTCGCAAAGCACTCCTCTCCCTGGACATCCATAAGTCGAGTGGGCCTGATGGAATCCCCCCAATTGTGCTGAGGACGTGTGCTCCAGAGTTGGCACCGGTTTTAACGCGTCTTTTCCGGTACTCCTACTCCCTAGGCGTAGTCCCAAAATCATGGAAGACGGCTTTCGTCCACCCGATCCCTAAAAAAGGCAACCACTCAGACCCGTCCAACTACCGGCCTATCGCCATCACCTCCTTGTTCTCCAAAACAATGGAGTCCATTGTAAACTGCCAGCTCATGAGGTACCTTGAGGATCACCAGCTGATTAGTGACCGCCAATACAGTTTTCGCCGTGGTAGGTCAGCTGGTGATCTTCTGGTCTACCTAACTCACAGATGGGCGGAGGCAGTAGAGTCCAAGGGGGAGGCATTGGCCGTTAGTTTGGACATTGCGAAGGCCTTCGATCGGGTTTGGCACAAAGCGCTTCTTTCGAAGCTCCCTTTCTATGGGCTTCTCGAGAAATTGTGCGATTGGATCACCAGTTTTCTTGCGGATCGGAGCATCAAGGTCGTTGTAGACGGTGGAAGCTCCGATTGCAAGCTTATTAATGCTGGTGTTCCACAGGGCTGCGTGCTATCGCCAACGCTGTTTCTTCTGCATACCAATGATATGTTGCAAACCCGTAGCATTCATTGCTATGCAGATGACAGCACTGGTGATGCTCTTTACACCGGCCGAGCCAATATTTCTCGGGAAAACGTCTCTGAGTGCCGGGACAAACTTGTGTCTGAAGTCGAGTCTCTGCTGGACAGAGTCTCGGATTGGGGGCGACTGAATCTAGTCCAGTTTAACCCCCAGAAGACACAAGTTTGCGCGTTAACCGCTAAAAAGAACCCCTTTGTCGTATCCCCTCAGTTTCAAGGCACTCCCCTTGTTGCCTCAGCCAGTATCGGAATCCTCGGCGTCGACATATCGAGTGACGTGCAGTTTCGTGGTCACTTGGAAGGGAAGGCCAAATTGGCCTCTAAAAAGCTTGGCGTGCTCAGCAGAGCGGGACAGTATTTCATGCCGGCACACCGCCTGCAACTTTACAAGGCGCAGGTTCGGCCGCTCATGGAATACTGTTCCCATCTCTGGGCTGGGGCTCCCCAGTACCAGCTTCTTCCACTTGACCGCATCCAGCGCAGAGCGGCTCGAATCGTCGACGACCGAGTGCTTTCCGATCGGCTCGATTCACTGGCGCTGCGAAGAGATGTTGCATCTCTTTGCGTATTTTATCGCATCTATCACGGGGAGTGCTCTGAGGAATTGTTCGGATTAATCCCAGCCGCCAAATTTCGTGAACGCACTACACGGCAAACGTCCCGATACCATCCACACCATCTGGATGCTTGGCGGTCCACCACAGTACGTTTCAAAAGGAGTTTTCTTCCGCGTACAACCTCTGTGTGGAATAATTTACCACCAGTGATTTTTCCGGACCGATACGACCTGGGGACCTTCAAGAAAAGAGCTTACTCCTTTCTAAAGTGCGGGCAAAGCACCTGCAATTCCCCTGGTGTTGCGGTTGATCATGGGCGGCGGTAGTCACTTAACATCAGGTGAGCCACATGCTCGTTTGCCCCCTCTTCTATAAAAAAAAAAACTACATCTTTGTGCCATTTGCTGTAGAGACTATCGGTCCGTGGGGTCCGCGTGCAGTGAAATTTCTAAAGGAACTGTATCCACGACTGGTCGTCGCTGCTGGTGATAAGAGGGCTGGTTCTTTCCTCGCTCAAAGGCTAAGTATAGCTATTCAGCGAGGAAACGCAGCCAGCGTTCTTGGCACTATACCACGGGGAGCAGGTCTTTTTGAGTATTAAAAATTTTAGTTTTAGATTTTCTATATTATAGTTTATTCTTTTAAAATTAATTTATTTACCTGCCAATTAACTATCAAAAGTCAACTGCTGAACATAGGCCCACAGATTGGGTATATTCGCTTGCCATAGTTGCCACCATGTATATAATAATGAAGTTTTTAATATTTCTATGGTTGCCACGCTTGGCAAGAGTTGACAACCGCAATTTTTCTGTTGCTTTTAGAAAGGCGCTGCATTTCATCTCATTTTTGTTTCCTTCTGTCGTCTCTTACGACGCCCACAAGACGATATGGGTTAGTTGATGTTTATGTAACGCCACTAAGTACGTGGTGTTCGTCACTCTTATTTAATTTCATTCTGGAGAAGTCAACATTTAGAATACAGAAATTAATTTGTATGTGCTGTTGGTTCTTAGGCAAACAATGTTATAAATTAATGCTAACCCGTAGTAATTGTTGTATGCCGTAGCATGTTTGAATAATAAACATAATTAAGGTTAATTTAAGTTGTATAACTTACACCATGTTTACACTTTATCCCGTGAGCTAGTAATGTGTTTATTGTTTCTGGGCATGTCATGCAATACACTGTCTTATTAAACTTAATTGATTTCAAATATTTTGCTATTGCAATAGAAGGTATAGTCAAGTTTTCCTGAAAGTGTAAAAATCTATAAAAGCATATAAACTCAGACGATATGTAAAGTAAAGCAAAGAAAAAGCAACAAGAACACTACAAATGTTCCAAGGAAATAGTTCGTTCACCACCACCATGCATTTCGGAGACAATAAAGAAAGGTAGCCAAATTACTTTACAAACATGCAACAAGTAATACATTTTTGAAATTAAACATTCTTTAGGCACATTAGGCACTTTTGGAATGGGGAGAAAGCACTGAACTTACGTAACCGTCACGCTCAGATACATAACATTTACACACAGATGTATTTATAAATTTGCTTGTATCATATAATTGATTTGTATCATATATTATCTAGTAAAAATTTTTTCCTAAAAATATTTCTTATCAACCCAAAAATAAACATTTACAAGTTTGTGAAGCTAAGAAGTTTTCACTACTGACGTGCAGTCCTACAACTGACAGTTTTTTTTAAATTAAATTAGTACCAAATTCAGGTGTTACAAAGAAAATCTATGAAGTAATTTAAAAGCAAAAAAATACTCAAACTCGAAACTTACAAAACCATATTTAATATCAGCAGCGTCGAATAAGTCTTCATATTTTTTTCGAGATCGTACGCTATTATTAGAGACAAAATGCACAGTCTTTCCCAACTGTTTTATTCTATGGAAAAATTCGCCTACACCTGGGTAAGGTACATCAGACCAAATAACACCTAAAAATGAATACATATTGTTAACGTTACAGTTAAAAACATTTCAAAGGCGTGTGGAATCCAACAATACACAATGGGGCACCAAAGTAGAGTCCTTCTTGGAAACTCCCCAAGCATGAGAAAAAAATATGTTGCACCCAGCGATGTTACGTAGATGTCCTTGAATTTCAAATGCTATTCTTTAACTTGGGAGTAAATCGTTACAGCCTATCAAAGTTCATTGTTGAACATAGGAATCTCCCATTAATTGGTTATATTTGTCATAGTTGCCACCCATGGCAGATTTTTATTTTTAAGTTGTTTTTAGGAACACGCTGCTGCCCATCTCCTGGTTTGCTTTCCTTTGTCGCCTCTTACGATACACGTGGGACGATATTGGGTGGTGGATACACCACCACTACAGGAGCTCTATTAGAAGTATAATATATCCAAATATGAAATAAACATTATATCTAAGAATAGTAACTTTACAGTCTTTATACGGCACTGACTCCAGGTATAAGTACTCTGTGGTGGGTACATCATTATACTTACTGATATTACATTTCTAATATTTATAAAATATTTAAAATGACATACTCCAAATCCAAATCCATACTATCACTTAGTTTTGTATGAGCCTTTACACAAGAAAACTACTCGATCTAGACAGGAAATTAGATTAAAATGTTCAACTGATAAGTACTTCAGTTTCCAACAGCCCTACAACAGTTTACTTCTGCACTGTTATTAGAAGTGACATGAAATGAACAATAACTTAATCATCTAACTTATTATATTTCTATAATACACGAAAAACCTTTTTTACAAAACGGAAGTAAGAAACGTAATTTACAGCCACCTTATGATATGTAGCTACTACTATCTCTAGACACCTTTAACGAACAACAAACAACGAGGGTCACAGATGCATTTTCACCTCTAAGGCATAGAGCAATACAGCTCACCGCCGGACCGGAAGGGATCCATATGCAGGCGTTTCCCTCTGTCAAATTATAAGTCCATGCGGTCCTATGCAAAATCAGTCAAGTTTACAGAAAGATGGCGTTAAATTTCATATAAATAACTGTTAGTCACATTTTTGCTATTTCTTTTTAAACCTATAAATTACAAGAAAAACAAAAAACACGGGTCGCTCGCCCTCGTACAATATACTGATATGAGCCTCTGATCCGAGTCTGTATCAGAGTTGTCGCTTTCACCGAGCGATACTGTTATAATGTGTCTACTTGGGCGTAAATTTGTCACTTTATTTTTTTCATTGTTAGGTGTAAGATTTGTAGTAACAGACAGTTGTTTTGTGTGCACAGATTTCCCCCGTAAAAAATGACAGACAGTTCTGTATCGGGGAAAAACACTATGGCTACTTCTTACGGTCCGCCGGTGGCATGTGCTCTATGCATATAGGAAGTAAATGAAATGCCTCATAGCTTGTTTTTTTTACTCGTTCTAATACCATTCAGACCGAAATAAAGCAGTGCACGCACTGATGCTTGTGTTTTTCTTTTTTTTATAGGATAGGTGACAAACGAGCACACAGTCCACATGATGGTAACTGGTTGCTGCGATCCACAGACATCTACGTTTATTCTCGATTACGAATCAAAATGCAGATGCGTTGTCACCCATGAGGACTTCGATGAAATGCCTCGTTTCTAGTAAAAAGGGTCTCCGGTTCTCTACAGTCACCATACGAAACACTTCACCATTAAGCTTCTATTTTACGATGGTATTCTGTGAGAGAGTGGTCCTTCCCCGGTCGAGCCGACCCATTCGTGCTATAACTATACTACCTACTTATATATCTGCAGCATGGCTCAATTATAAAGAATTAGTATAGAAATTATAAAGACAAATTTACACGTTTTATACATGATAAAACGTGTAAATTTGTCTTTATAATTAAACATCAGCGGCAGGACTAACAACAAATACGTTGTTTATTCCAACTTAATCCTAGGGCCTATGAAGCTAGCTTAGGATTACGAACATGGATATAATGTAGGTTTAAAAGAAAAAACAAATTGATAATAGATACTACTTTGAAATATTAATTATCTTTACTAATGATTTGGCCCTACTTAGTTCATCGGCGAAATATAATGACGATTTGAAAGTAATCTTAAGTCATCTATCCATGCGTAAAATGTACCTCGTTTATTTGCCACATATTTACACCACGATGAATTACATATAAACAACTTTTTCATAACAATGATTAAACGTGGTTTTAACACAGTCTGAGTTTTAAGCCGTCGTTGTAACGGAAAGTATAACTGAGTCACATTTTGTGATACTATGGATTATGTACATGTTAATTAATGATGTAGTAAGGTATGCTTATGGGGCATTGATAATGTGTAATCAGTTTTGTAAAAAAATATATATTTATCCACTAAATCATTTCATCCAGTGTCGTAAGTGGCGACAAATCGGACGGACAATCACTGTAAGAGGAACCTTCGAATAAACAATAATAAAAAAATTGCGTTTCTCAACCCACCCGCTAATATCGGCGAGTATGGCAAATACGATTAATTATAACGAAATATATGGTGTCAAGGTAAGCTTTATATTAAGCAATGGATTTTTGATGGACTGTAAAGACTGATAATTACAAACACTTTCAAATTACATAATATACTTAAAACTTAACTTCTTACTCACCATCACAGTCAGAAAATACATAATCTAAAGAATCGAGGGTATTTTTAAATTCAGTACAATTTAAAGAATTCAGATATATAGGCTCCATATTAACTGAGTTTTCACTGCTTACGAACTAATAGCAATTGCAATTAGAGAGACGCGTCTGACCGTTGTCTAGGAGAATACTACACTGGACTGGAGGTTTAGTATGCATTTATAACTTATATTTAAATAAACGCAATGCCTATTTTCAGTCGACTTTTTCAGATTTATCGGACTCAGAGATCGTAGTCAATAACCTTATATATGTATATGTGATGATGATCATTCTGATGTAATAAGGTCGTATAGTGGTATCAACACTTGTGTCGCAGCCTTGTGCCCCGCTGTGTTCATGAGGTTGTGGAAGCCCTTAACCATCCGAGTGTTATCAAAAATATATTCAATTCCCGCAAAACTTTTAAGAAAGGCTTTAACTAAAGGAAAAGTAGGTACCTACGAGAACAAGAAGAAAGGTTTCGCCTTGAAATAGCACCTTGATGGCACATTTAAATAATAATTTACTTTAACATAATAATGTACACTTAAATATATTTTTAAATGTATACATTATTTTTGATGGCACGTTTGGCACAGTGGCTGAACCACCATTTTTTGTCATCACTGACTTAAATATATTACAAGTTGACGCAACTTACGGAGGCGCTACACACCACAGTTTTATTTTTAATAATAGTGTGATTCAACCTAAACTTAATAGTTTAGTTGAAGCTGGTTAAACAATATATTTGCTAGGTAAGCTAAAATAATCAGTTATATATTTACGTAAAAATAGTATAACTTTAAGAACCTTCCCATAATATATTTACAACCACCCTACATAAAGATCACGTCGATTAGTTGGAACGCAATTAAGTATTGAGTTTTGAATTCATTAAAAATACTACTAACAAAACATTTTATATTGCAGGTGATTCCGGATGTGCACAACGCACTTATCTGATGGTATCAATACCTAACACTTTAGAAGGATCACCAGAAGAGCACTACAATAAATTACATGCTACAGCACATAATACTGAGGAGAGAGCGATTGGCAGACTAAAGGGACGATTTAGGTGTTTATTGATACACAGGGTGAGCACCCTGTGCCTGACACTATGACCCTGAAATGGTTGCAAAAATTGTGATAGCTTATTGTGTGCTACATAATATTTTCAACCGTGTATGGCTTCCTGCTATAGCTATGAGCGAGTATGTCCTACAAGAATAAATTTGTTTTCAGACAGTAATGCGTGCACGAGGCTCTAGTGTTGATGGTGTATCTAGAGAAGCTATTTTGGAGCAATCAAGTCGACAAGACTTACTAAATAGACTATGGCATGCAAGAAACATAATGCATTAAACGACATTTTTACAAAATATTTTATTTTTATTTTTTTAATTTTTCTGCCAACAACTTCAACCCATCCCCAATGACCTGCCTCTTCTCCCTTCTATCTGATTATCCAGGTAAGATTGCAATATTGCAAGGCTCTGCCGTTGGATTTCAGTTAACTGTTCTTCCACTCGTAGGAACCACTCAGCTAGACTAGTCAAATGAGGCTGTTACTGTGATGGTGGCGACAGTGGCCTGTGATGTTTACCACGACAACTTGAAGTTGCTATAAAGAGACCAAAATCAAATTGAAATCTACATGTATAATTATAAGTCTGTAGGTAACACAGACATACTGAACAGATTCTGATGAAATTAGGTATGAAAACAGCTTGGACCCTGTAGATGAATATAGGCTACTTTCCTCTCCATACCAAATTACATAAAAATCTGTTCAGTGGTTAAACCATGAAAATGTAAGAAACAGACAGAGCTACTTTCGCATTTATACGTAATATTAGTGTGGATATGAATTATTAGGGGAATAAAACATATAGAATTTTCCATTTCTGTTGGAACTTCTAAAAAATATATAAAAATAATTCTTGTTCAATGTAATCATATGTAAAGTTATGGGTCATAAACTACTTTTCGAGATTTGTAGACAGAAACATACAGAACCTTATTTTTTATATAAAAATATTGAATATCATACACATAGGAATTTTTGTACTAAAGAGTATATTCAAAAAGCTAGCACTTTGACCGAGGCGTCCCCCCCGTAAAACCACATCAATCTGTCACTCTACTTCATATGTTTGTAATATTACTCCAAAAATATAATTACTGGCATTGTGGGAGGATCAAGCCAGCTGACGATGAACATTTAGTATACCTCGCTGTAGGTGTCTGCTTGAACTAGAAGGTGTTGTAGGCATCAGACTTACTGGCGAACCAACTATTGGAGGGGAGCTGGGCACAGCCTGTGCTTATTGCATGGGAGCTTTGAGACACCTGAAACCATGATTTTTATAGTAATATGCAATTACACAAGTATTCTAAAATAAACCTTTACATGAGTTACATACTATGCGTACTTCACTTGGCCGTGAATACAAATGCGATGTCCCAGGAACACATTTAAGTCTGGGTCGTTGTGGAGTCTGAAAATGTAAGACATTGCTGAAAAAACACATAACATATAAATGTCCCAATTCTATTTCACATAATCACAAAATAACTTTTTGAAGTAAAACCTATATATTTAAATAGATTTTGTAATTACATTTATTAACTTTAAAAATATAAAATACCGCTATTGTAGCAATATCAGTAACATCTGATTCCGTTTATAGAATATTCATTGAAGTATCTTGTACCTGAAACACATTGAAACATAAGTAAGCACACATAAGTATTGCCGTGTAATGGCGGTTGAGAATATCCACTACCCCATATCTTCTCGTGTGTGTCGTAAGAGGCGACAGAGGTAGACAGGCAGGAGATGGGCAGCAGCATCTTCCTGATAACAGCAATGATATAATAAAAAACTGCGGTTGCCAACCCGCTTGCCAAGCGTGGCAACTATGGCAAATGATGAGTAACCACGCAAACAAACGGCCCCCATTCCCCGGCGGCCCCGCTATTTCTGGCTACGGTGGCAACCATGGTAATGACGGGCAGGGGTGCTAAGAATCTCAGGTGGAGGTTCGGTTGCCACCTACGACGACTCGACCTGGCAACATATAACGCACGCACCCTGAGGACTGACGAGAAGATACTGGAGTTGGAAGAAGAGGTAGACAAGTTGCGCTGGCATATTATAGGGTTATCCGACGTCCGAAGAGTGGGGGAGGACACGGTAATCCTCGGGTCCGGCAACTTGTTCTATCACCAGGAGAGCGACCATCTGGCCCAAGGAGGTGTCGGATATATCGTCCACAAGTCTCTCGTCAACAACGTTGTAAAGATTGGGAGTGTGTCGACGAGGGTAGCATACCTGATACTCAGAATCACCAAACGGTATTCGCTGAAGATCATACAGATTTACGCACCAACCTAGGCACATCCCGATGAGAAGGTGGAGGAAATGTATGAGGATATTTCTAGAGCCATTCATTCCTCCCAAACCCACTACACGGTGTTGATGGGAGACTTCAACGCAAAACTAGGCACAAGAGAAAGCGGTGAGCTGAAGTTAGGTAAATTTGGAGAGGGGCAATGGAACCGTTGGGGCCAGCAGCTGGCCGACTTCATGGAGAAAGAGGGACTCTTTATGATGAATAGTGTATCGAATAGTGATCGCAGGGGTGACTGGCAGCGATCACCGAATGGTTAGAGGCACACTGAACCTAAACGTTAAGTTGGAGAGGTCTCGTCTTATGAAGTCAACGGTCCGTCCCCCTCGTGCTCTAATCCAGGATCAAGAATCTCGAAACCTTTCAGCTCGAGTTACGTAGCCGCTTTCAGTGCCTAGAAGATTGCAGTGGACGATATGAATGACAAGCTCGTGGAAACTGTCCATACGGTCGGAGCTAAGTTTTGCAAGACCCGCCGCAGAAGAACAAAAAAACTCTCCGATCACACTCTTAATCTCATGGCTGTTAAACGGGGGGTGAGGCTGCAATCGTCAACAGATTTGACAGCATACAGGCAACTGAACAGACAGATCTCCAAATGCATGCGGCGAGACTTACGCAAATTTAATACTGCTCGTATTGAAGAAGCCATTGAGCGGAACCAGGGCTCCAAAGTCTTTGCCAGAGATCTGCCTGCCAGTAAGAGCCAACTGTCAAAGCTGAAGACTGAGCATCGTTTCTGGGACACCTGAGATTCTGAGTGAGATTGAGAGGTTCTATGGACAGCTGTACACATCATCGTTGGAGCCACACGCAAGTGTGAGTAACGATCCAAGAGCGGGTCTTATCCGACACTATTCCGATGATATCCCGGACGTCAGTCTGAGCGAGATTAGAATGGCTCTCCAGCACCTAAAAAACGGCAAGTCCCCGGGCGAGAATTGAATTACAGCGGAGCTTCTGAAAGCGGGTGGAAAATTGGTACTTGAAGTCCTTCAAAAGCTCTTTAATTTAGTCCTCCACGGTGGCACTACTCCAGGGGCGTGGAGCAGAAGTGCGATGGTCGTGTTCTTCAAGAAAGGAGACAACATCCTCTTGAAGAACTACAGACCGATATCCTTTCTGAGCCGCATCTACCTGCTGTTTTCGAGAGTCACTACTAATCGTCTTGCACGCAGACTCGATGACTTCCAGCCTCCCGAACAAGCTGGTTTACGAAAAGGCTTTAGCACCGTAGACCACATACATACCCTTCGGAAAATTGTACAGAAGTCCGAAGAGTACAATCTGCCACTTTGCCTGGCGTATGTGGACTATGAGAAAGCCTTTGATTCCGTCGAAATTTGGGCGGTGCTACAGTCTCTTCAGCGGTGCCAAGTTGACTGTCGGTATATCGAAGTGCTGAAGTGTTTGTGCAGTAGGGCTACGATGGCTATCCAAGTACAGAACCAGAGTACAAAACCTATCCAACTGCAGAGAGGTGTAAGACAGGGTTACGTTATTTCCCCGAAACTCTTCACCGCTGTATTGGAAGATGTTTTCAGTACATCACTCACCATCGATTTGCCGACGACTATATCGTCGACAAATCTGCCTCGGTCGGCAAGTCTGCCTTATGGCAGAATCGCTGGAGGATTTAAGCACTATGCT